ATGTATCAACACCTCCCCATCCCTCATGGTATGTATGTGAAAAGAAAACCATTTTGCCCAAGAAGCTGCACATTTTATGGACCATGCTCACAGAGGTTGGACACTTTGTCTGTTAAGAACATGGAGCAGGCTCTTTCAGTCTCTGACACCTGTCTGGTTATCATGCAGTCTCTCAGTGTAACTTGCCTTTTTTTGTCTCTCCCAATTCCATCCACTGTTTACAACAAAATGTCAGCATCCAGCTGCTCAGCAGCAGCCTACATTTCCTGCCCAGCTCCATGGGTGAGACTGTGTGACAAATGTACTACTCAGTCAGGAGGAGATGACTGCATGCGTAATGCTCATCATCCTTTGTAGCCCGCTAGGTAGCTTCTTGACAAAGACAATAATCCTCTTTGCCAAGTTCATGGGGGTGGAAGAAAAGGTCAGATGACTCCTTGGCCTTTGATGCTTCTGTCGTTAGAGAAACATATGTTCTGTGAGATACGTTCAGTAGCGTCTGCCTGTCTGAAGAGCTGGACAGCTTCTTCTAATGTACTTTGTAAATGGCTATACTCAGATGGTCAGGTCTCTTTTCCAGCTTTCAAACTGGATAAACCTGTTCTTCAGCTGGACTTTTTTTCCTGGTGTTTGGCCCAGACTTCTCCATTACTGAAAAAAAATGTTGTACCATAAGAACACACCTTATCATGCACCAAGCTTCAGAAGCAGTACCTCTTTCTGATGTGCACACCTTTCAAATACTTGTGAATTTCTACTCTTTCCTGATACTTTTAAACATTACTCACCCCACATAGCATATTTGACTTATAACTATTCCTTGAAGTTTGTCTCTTTCATCAATATACTTCTGAAAACCGTAGTGCCTGGACCTGGATAGCATTGATCAAACTGTAGTCCTGAACAAAGGCTCTGTTACTTTTATTGTGCGAGGCATTTGCATGATCCCTAGCTGATTTTTCTACAGCTTGTTCTGTGCCTCAAACGGTTTTTGGTACACTTCTTCTCAGACAGTCTACAGAAAAGAAGAAAAGCAATGATAGCAACTATGCAGTAGCACTGGAATCAGGCCTGCAGACTTTATGGTGCTGAATGTGCAACAGGTTAGTTAGTTAAATAAATTTTGAGCCAGCAACTAGTGGCCTCTGTAACTGTGTATCTGGTTTATATCGGAGAGAATCTCTTTCCTTCAGAGCTGCACCATGAAGATACAACTTTCCGGAGAAGCTGAAGGTGTCCCTGCTCATTGCAGGGGATTGGATTCAGACGACCTTTAAGGTTGTTGCAGACCAAACTATTCTATGATTCTGTAAGTTATTCTGAAAAATAATACTGAAAAACATGTTTGTATGACATAAAATGTCTGACAAAATGTATTGGTGGATTGCAGATAAGGTTTACTTGGTCAACAGGTTTCACAAGGGGAATATGGAACTTGTATACAAATTTCACCCTAGCCTGGGCACTATATATGGGATTGAAGTCTGGAATCAGCGTTGAAAGATCACAGAAACACAAAAAACAGGCCCAAAAGAAGATATTAAGAGGCTGTACAGTTCAGCACCAAGTTTCTGAGCAGCATCAGTTCACCAGTGAGTCCTAAGAAGGGTAATCTATTCTCTGAGTTACTTTGTGGTAATAGATTCACAGCCTTTCAAGGCAATCTATTTCTATGTGCTGTCTATTTCTATGTCCTATTTCTATTTCTCTTTGTTACTGTTAGAAAACTTGCCTACCTAGCTTAAATCTCGTCACTGCAAATTAAGCACAGAATTCTTTGTTTATTGCTACTTTGCAGACTCTGCCATGATGGTTCACAGCCTTCTGAGATATTATGATTAGCATGTCCAAGCCACAAGTGGACTATGCTAGGTGCTGTTCAGATGCCAGATGAAGGAAATGAGAATAAGCACAAGAGACAAAGGTCATACATCTCAGGAGCTGTATACCCTAACACTGTCAGAATGCCATATTACTGACGCACCTACTGACCACCTACCCACAATAGCTACACCTTTTACTCAAGAACAAGCAATGCAGCATTGGTGTCCTTACCAGCAGTTTAAAAATAGACAGGCACAATGGCTATAGCCTATATTTTTAGGGGAATATTTTGAAAATCAGTCGTGATGCAATTCAGTGATGTATGTTTAACCCCACTAGTTAAAACTCTATCACATGAGAACTTTTTCACTCACCTCAGCACAGATCTTCAGTTCCAGAAACTGGCTTTTTATCATGTACAGTCTCTGCCCTTTAGACATCTTTAAGAATAAGAATAGGTTGTGTCCGTTCTAATAAGGGGTCCTGCTGCTACAGCAAGCTTCACTACTTCCTTCACTTAGAGTATCGATTACATGCCAAAGCCACTTCCTCGATTATGTAAATCAGCTGAGAAATGGCAGAGTTGACAATGAGTGTTTCATGTACAGCTCATCATCTTGAAGTGCTGTAGTTTCTTAGTGTGTTATGATCCATAACCTAATTATAGGCTACTTCATTTTTCAAGAGTACAAGCTTACATATGGCCATACACATCCACATGTTGGTTTTTTTTTTTGTGACTGCAAACACTCTTGGTATATGCATTTTATTCCAAAAGTATTGCCTTCTGTCACTGTTTGCAAATAAACCATGTCCCATATGCCTTTCTAGAAGCTGTTCGAATGCTGGGCAGAGTGAAATGACCACCTTCTCATAGGATCATTACAAAAAAAAGCTATGAAGAGAGAAGTCTTTTAAATTTTAGTCACTGTCATAGAACTGGCAAACCTGGAGTTTTTTATTCTGCATGCAGACTTCTTGCAGATTTGCAGACTTCTCACAGACTTCAGAAATATATATGTTTTTTGAAACAGCAAAGCAACTTAGAATCACCGGTCATAATAAAAATAAGTGGATTTAGGGCCCTAAGTCACAAAAGCACAGATAATTTAAGGGAAATAAGAACCTTTTGGGAAAAAAAATACCCAAACCCTTAAAAAGCACTAAAACCATTTAATCTGAGAGAATGTTGTCAAGACCCTGTGTTTGCTCTTGAGCTGATGGTCACCAGGCCCCAAATAAGCCAGTTCAGCTTTGACCTGTCCAGTTCAGTTCCCTCCTGCCCTACTGGCAGCCTCAGCCAACCCCCAGTCTCTACAAGGAGACAACTGGGACTCTAGCAATATGTCCAGGTTTAGAAGAGAGAGTGAGACTCCAGCAACACCAAGTCAGACCAGCTCAGGCTTTTCAGAGAAGTCAAAAGATAAGAACAGCTGAAGTTGTCTTTCTACAGTATGGTAACAATATAAATCTTTCTCCCTGCCTCCTATTCTCTTCTCCTTCTCCCTAGTTCCACGAGAAGGGACTGAGCTGGTTGTCTTCATGGTTTATTTTGTGTTGTCTCATTCCGGTGGCAGGAGAACCAGGGGTTATTTTCAGCGCCAAACAGATTCTGTGTTTTTTTCTACCAGAAGGAGAACTGTTGTGAAGAACTGTGTGTACTTTACGTTGACCAACACCAAATGTAGGGGGTTTATTTTCAGACTCAGTTGTGTGTTTTGATTCTGGCCCTGTGATTCGTGCAGAAAGAGAAGCTCTGAGGTCACTCCAGGAGGGAATAAGTGAGTAGCTTATTTATCTTTTCCAAGTCTCTGTTCATTAAATGTCTTCTGGATGCCATGCATAGTCCCCTGCTAAGGCTAAGGGTTAAACATCATCAAGAAATGTCTTTGTTCTGAGCAGAGAAAATGTAACCTTCACATTGAAGTAGATGCAAGTAGAATCCCTTCTGTTGGATAGGGTGCATCATGGCATGGCCTTTTTAAAAGGATAGAGAGATAGTGACAGCTCCCAACCATGGCGAGAGCTGCATGAGGCCAAAACCTGAACTTCTCTCTCATTTCTTTCATCCATTCCAAAGTGAGCCACATCAAATGCCAGTTCTGTACATTTCACGAGCAATTCTCTCTGGCATGAGCAGAGAACAGATCAGTATCCACACAAAAGCAGGGGAGTAGTTGCACCTTCACAAACAGTGTGCATAAGAGCAGTCTCCACAGACACGTCAGGCAAAACCTCATGGCAAACCTTAGCAGTACTTATCTGCACACTCCTCAGGCAGACTCCACATACATGAGCATGTTTGTTACGTGTAGGGGCAGACCTGTGTTTTTGTTACACCACAAGGTGGTCCAGTCTGTGAGACTGCTGCAGGAAAGTTCCTACTGGCCAGTCTTCTAATCAGCAGATTTCTAGCTCCCTGTGTTCTTTGCTTCCCCTTCTGCTTCCCTTTCCCATTTTACAAAGGGAAAAATTGAAGGAGGAAAGATAAAAACCCTAGCTACACAAGCTTTGCCCCTCATCCATTATCCATGACTACAGTAAGTCCAACAATCACTTACAAGTATCCTATGGAAATGGCTTCTCTGATTCCCACTTCCAGACTTTTTTCTGTTTACTGCTCCACTGCTTGACCTATTCGAGCCCATTATTTGGGCTTTTACTCCAACCAACCCATGAGACAGAAAAGTGTTTCTGACTATTAGGGGTTGGGAGGGTTTTGGTGTTTTTTTATTGAGCTTTGTATTTTTACTTGCATATAAGAAAACTAGATGCGAGGGATCATCAGAGAATCAAATGAGACTGCGTCTTCTAAATGTATGCTAGGAATAACATAGTACATTACTACTAGCTATACCTAGTAGGAATAAGCTAGTAACACTGGAAAAGTCACCATTTTCTTGATGCTGGCGTGTTATGCCTGGAAAGTAATTTACTAACTTTTCCAGCTTCTGCAATGTATAGCAATATATGTTAGATTATCCGAGGTAAACACTCACCATGCATATTAATACCTGCTTCTGGCTGTGGTTGTCGATCATCTAGCAAGAAGGTGACATGTTGCAAATGCACAGGGCTGATGCTGATGTATTCAGAAGTTATTCACCTGGCTAATGGGGTGCATCTGCAAGTGTATCCATCTTTCAATCATTTCTCTGACTTCCTGCAAGACTACACATTTCCCTCAGGAGTCATCAGACCTTCTACTTCTCCATCTAGAGGGCTGACAAGAGATCCCTTTAGACTCCTCCGCCCTGCCACAGAAGGGGAGGGCACCTTCACTCTGAAGATTTAAAAGGGAACTCCCAAACCTTTAGGAGATCTTGTAGCACGTTATCCCAAGAAAAGAAGGCTGAAGATTTGCCTCTGAACAAAGTATGAAGGTGAGTGAAACTCTTTTGGTGCCTAGGAAAGCAATGAATACTTATTCATGTGAATATAGTATTTAGCAGCAGCAGGGGGGCTTAAGAATTTTAACTTTAAAATAATTTATTTTTAACTTTAACGTAAGAAATATACACATAATTCTATTTGGTGTGCTTGAAACAACTGCATGAAAAAAACATTAATAGCAGAACATGCTCTCAAAACCAGGGTGAAATAAACTACTGTGAATCATAATATTAGGTGCTCTCTGTTGCACATCACTGTTATCAATAAATAAATAACAACACGGTCTGTGTGAACAAGCAGAGATGCAACTTTTTTGCAGAGGATTCACACTCAATGATTCATTTGCATGTGCTGCATCAACAAACAAGCTCCAAGAATCACAAAAGCCTGTCTCGTGACATGTGTGTAATCATGGCTGAGGCGAATAGGATGCTAAGTTTAAAAACTTTCTTTTCCTGAGGAAGTAGTGATGCGCTCTCCTGGTTGATTGGCTTTTGTTTGAAATGGCAAGTCCCTGCATTTGCTTGTTGTCTGAACTCTATGATTCAAGGTTTGGTAAAATCAAGATATACTTTATATTGTCTTTCCCCCTTAGACTGTACATTTCTCTTTTTTCTGGAGGATCTAATGTCCTTGTAAATAGGAGGACAACAGGTGCTTGTGATGGTGGCAGTTCTCACCCGTATGGTACCTTTGTAATGAATAGGAGTTAAGAGAATATATGTTTGGTTTAACATCCATCCTCCCATGAGATCACTGTGTACAAATCAGTGAAATAGTAACTGAGCAAAAGGAGGTTTGGCAGCAAAACAGGGAGAAAGGAGAGACTAGGCATACCCTCACATTTAGATTTGAAGTTGAGAGGATCTAAGGATCTGGAAGGTCTTCCTGTACCTTGTAGTTCTTTGTTGTGCACAGGGACTGCGTAAACTGACAGCAATTGCAACGGCACTGTTCATGGCAGCGTTCTTGGTATCTTTCTCCTGGAGTGCACCTCAGGTAAACTGCTCACTTACTTAGGCTGAATGCGCAGCATCCATGAATCTCACGGGTTGGTGCCAGTTAAGTGTTTGTACTAGTTAGTAATGTCATGCAGTGTTGACATGGCTCTTCTCTTTTTTGGCACAAAGGCTTATTTCCAAAGGAGAAACTGGACTCCTCAGGCTATGCTGTATTTGAAGGGTGCACGTAAGTCCCACACTCTTTCCATTTTGAGGAAATAATTTTACCACTGGATAATTCCTAATCTGTTTTGCCCCCTAGAATCAGTAAATCCCTGAGGGTGCTGTGGAGGCAGAAGTTCTGAGGCCTGCAGGGATATGCTAATACTTATTTCTTCTTGTCTCTGAAACAGTGGTATCACCACTATTATTATTTTTTAAAGAAAGCAAATTGAAGAAAGCAAACAAGTGTTGGAAGAAGTGAAGCAAAACAAAGTACTGAAAAAGTTGATGGAAGCTTGATTGTAAAACCTGTTGGAAAAGAAGTTTCCTTATCTGAAATAAACTTAAAGGGGGTTTAAGACATGCTGGATATAGTTATCATACCTTAATTTCACTCAGGCTTTATTAAAACATCTTCTAAAGTAACAGGGGGTTGTTGTCTTGGAGTGTTATGGTTCAGGATGGGTTCCTCCTGGTATGGAAAGACCCTATGCCTCCCATTTTATGTTTGTAGAAGTAACGTTGTAATTTTGTATTTTGAAAATACTACTTTAGGAGTTGTAGTGTAGGAATACCAATAGACCTGGGAGGTTGCTTTCACCCTTTTCCCACTGCTTTTATAGAGGGACGTCGATTCATCTCAGATGAGAGCCAGCGAAACGATCTGTATGAGAGAATGAAGCTTGGTAAGTACATGTGCACAGGTATATGTAACACATTGATCTCTCCTCAGATTATGGGAGAAATCTGTGGAAACTGGAGGGGATATAGTCAAGGAAACAGTTAAATCTATTTCTGCTAGTTCCTTCATTCAAAAAGGTACATGATAAAGACTGACTTTCCTCCCTTGTGCACCTGTACTATTTCATTTATGGAAGTTCCAGGTGGACCTGGCTGTTAAGTGGCATTATCATCAGTACTTCTGATTTTTATTTTCCACTGGAAAATTCAAGTTATTAATTGTGCTGAACTGACAGATGACAAAAGTAGACAGATAGTGTTATAACAAAGTAAGGAACATATGAAAAATACTAAATATTCTTTTTACCTTTGAAGGGGCTTTGAAATATCCTGCTTTTTATAAAGATTGCTTCTGTCTTCTGTGTTAAATACTCATCTGGGTGGTTGTGAGTAGAGAATGTTATAGCGTGAGGGAGACAACAGCACTACTTTTCTCTTTGGGTCTTTCATTATAGAGATAAAAAAGCAAAAAACAAACCAAATAAATACCATCAAACACTAACCAACCACGCATCTTTCTTCTTGTAATTCTAGAAACACGCAGCCAAAACACAAATCCTCTATCTCTTTCCGAAGCTGCTGCACTGTTCCTTAGTTCCTTACAGAGAGCACAAGAAGAAGGTAAATGTGTGTTTTGTCTCACCCTGACTTTTAAAAACAAGGTTTGTCACTATTTCATTTATTAGCAATTTAGTAAATTAATCTAGAAGGTCTAGTTTTGTCGTGGTCTAAGCCCATCTGGCAAGTACCATGCAGCTGCTTGCTCAGGTTTGAAATGAGACATTCCAAGGATTGCATTGTGTTAGAGTGTACATTTACACAGATTACGACACGAGTCAGATAAATGACAGTAGGTAAAATTTTGTATATTCTGCTTTGAATTTGCTTTTCAGAATTTCATTGCTTTAGATTCAAAGCAATGGCTATTTTGAATTGATTTTTTCCAGAGCAAAACTCTACTGGGACTCCTTTTTCTGCATAATATTGTTCTCTTGCGAAATTTTCATTCCTCAATTGGGTCTTATATCCTAGTATAAAGACTTAAAAGAATCCTTAAAAACCCCAGCAGAGGAGCTGTGGGATTCACATCTGGCCTCTGCAAGCTCTGTTTCTGGCACAGTTGACAAGAGTCCCAGGGACATTTTGAAATAGAGCTTTGAAATATCCTGAAAATCCTGTAATTTATTCATGTGTTCCCAGCTTTCCATCTGTATACCCTCATCACATGCTTCCTCACCATGTGCTTCTGCTTCTTCAGAACCTCAGAACCCATGTTTCCCTTCCACAACACCCCCTAGCAGAACCCAACTACTGAGTTAGGCTTAGGTAACTTGTGTTCTCCTTCATGCACATTGCACTCCCTTATCCTATGTTCTCCTACTCCCTTGCCCTGCTTTAGTTCCCCTTTCCACCCTAGCCAGCTTTCCTGAACTGCTCATTGTCTGATGCATAGGTAGAGCTCACCAGGCTGAAACCCTAAATCTATGCTGCCCTTGTCCTCTGGTTTTCTACATTTCACCTCTACATAGTCTGTGTTTGGGAAATGGAGCTGGGGACAGGAAGTTTGTAAAAGGAGGATGCACCCTGCAGGCTCTCGAGAGAGACCATGCTGTGCTCTGGCTCCTGGGTGCTGCAGAGGCTGGTGTAGCATATACAAACCCAGGAGTCTGTTTAAATTTAGCTCTTCCCCTCTTTGGTTCAAGACAGGGAGGAACAGAAGGTGGCTAAAAGCTACCTTTGTTTCTCATCCTGGTTGTTAGTTCCTTATTCAGATTATTATCAACATGTAGTGCTGGAGTTCTGTGCTCAGCTCTCTCTTCCCTGCCCTGGCAGAACTCTGCTAATCTAAAGAATTCAGTGGCATTTAAGTGACAGAGAAAAGGCAGAATTAACAATGAGCATAATGCTTTGGGCAAAATATCTGAGCAGTTCTAAAGATAAATCAGAGAAAATTTTATTTGTGTGCTAACAGAAAGGGAAAATCCTCTGAAGCTCACAATGCATATATTTTAGTGGTATTTTCCTGCCTGTTGCTGCTGTTCCGGAAGAGATGGTGAACAGCAACAGCCCCTGAGAAAAAAGGTGACATATCTCAGAGAGCTAAGCAGAGCTGGCAACTTGTTTGAAAAATACTGTGACATTGCCACCATTGTAGTAGGGAATAACGAAACAGCCAAACCTGGATAAGTTATGCACTTTCAGAAGATCACTTTCCAGTGATTTCAGAATCCTCCTGAGTGAGAGAAATGTGTGAATAGAAACCAAATATGTTATTTTCTTCTGCATGAAAAAATTCTGCCTTGTACTAAGATACCTTTCTGGATGTGGTTTGTACCTTTGCACTTCAGAAAATAGAAAAATTCCTACATTTAAAATGAGAGAAGGCATGATTCTTTCTACAGATGCTTACATCTCTTAGCTAAGAAGTCACTTTACACTTGGCTTGTGCTTGAGGCACATCTGTCTCCTGAAAGCTTTACTGAATGAACTTTCCCTTATCTACAGCTTAATTTTCCCTATTGTGTCTTGCCTTACAGCTGAAGAAGAAAACAGTGATCACCCTGCCTACTTGACAGATAAGATATCAAATTGGTGAAATATTTCAAATTTAACATTTGGATTGCATAGACCCTGAAATCATGTCTTGTGTAAACAGAGTATTTCATCCAGCCTCACTTCAGTTCCCAAAGCATGACGTATATATGTATTGCAAAATTTTGAATGCAAACAGGTTGCACGTTACTGATAAAGATCAGATAAAGGAGGTATTTGTTAGGTTCTGCTTTGTTTAGACCATTTTGTATGTCCCACCTAGAATTTAAAATACATTGTACCATCTTACCTGAAAAGATGATTAAAACTGTCTTTTTGGACAATGACTTCATTTTCTTTCAATAGTCATTGGATAGTCATCTTTTACCACTTTTCACCCAGCTGTGTATTGAAGCCCTTTTAAAGGTAATTACTTCACCACTTTGCTGCCAGCCCTGTAAACTGCTGATCATTAATAAAGTCAGTGAGATATTAAAACAATCCAGCTATCTTTGATTGTGAAGACAGTGATTTATTTTTTTTTTTGCAGATATCTGTCCCCACAGAGAATAGGCAACAGCGCTTACTTAGCCCTCAGCGCTGTCCCAGTTACATGCATGCAGAAATGTATAGTCTGAACAATCCTACTGAGCAAGCCCCACCACATAAAGATAGTGTGGGGATAGGTCTTACAGGACCTGGGCCTCATTAATGCCTGTGGCATACAGTCACAGCTGTTTGTCAGGATCTGCAGTACTGCTGGAGCTGGTGGTGGTGTACCAGGGACAAACCTAGTGTCACATATGACAACAGGCACACAGAATATTAATTGCATGGTTGCTGTACTTTTTGTTGGCCTGCTTTTTGAGTTGCGAAACTGGAGCATAAATTGGTCTATTATCATTCCATGCTGATAAAGATAGATTTAACATCATTTGTGTAGTTTTGCGGTCTAACTGGAAAGCCCTCTGTAGTTCTCATGTAATTAAAAAATAGCCACATGATTCTTGTGTCCAAGCAACTATGTTTTATTTTTTTAACCTTCAACCCTAGTAATACTCTTCATCTTTCAATGCTGCTTCCCTCTGATCTTTCTCATGGCACTACTAATTAACTGTTAACACACACTAATAACAATGTTGCTTCTCCTCAAAAGAAACGCAGCTGAAGGAATAGAGGAATTAATTTCCATCATGGGGCTGTTGGCATTTTCAGTAATTGTTTACAATCTATATTATTTCATGGAGGAACATAACTGGAGAAATAAAAATGTCCTTGTATGTTATTTTTTAAGCACCAATGTATCTTTGAATAGCAGTATATGTTATATGGAAGAACGCATTCATGAGGAGCTTCATCTAAAGACCAATGATATCCAACAGAATATTTTCATTAATTTAATTGCTCTTTGTTTCTATCATACTCTGAATAACTAAGTTACTTTTCAGCATATTTTACTGTATGATAAGTCAATGATCAGACAAAAGGTGGAAGGCTTATACATCCTTTGGTTTATTACTATAATGAAATTTATATGCCTCTAAATGAGATGGTAGAAAAACTGTGCTAATCGTATTTCCAGCTTTTTGTATGCAGTCCTGATGTAAGCTCACTAGCTTAAACAGTTCATTACAAATACCATGGAACAGAATAAACATTCTGCCATGCTGGTGAGTGGTTTGTGAAACCCTAGCATTTTCAATCTGGCAGATAAACACTTATGTAAGAGACAGCTGCTACCAAGCTTGTCAGATGTCAGTAATTATTAGAAATGTGTGGCATTTAATTTAGGCAATCTGTCTGAACGAAAAGCCATTCCCTATGAAACTGCAAATCCAAAAGGCAGAAATGCTTTGCTGTACTTAAATTGTCATGCTACTGACGGCTAGTCTTAGCGTTCAAGACAATACCAAAATAGGCCTAGAGGCATGAGGCAGAGGTCACTTTAGCCATTTCTGAGAAGAATGTGCGTTATCTTCACATTGGTCATATCTCAGAAGTTGTGCACTTTCTGTCACAAGGCAGGTGCTCAAAGCATATGAGAATGCTGAATCAAACACAGCTGGATTTGTGTGAGATGTCATTACAGTTCTCTGCTCTTCCCAGAGAACTCAAACACCATAAGCACATCTAAGAAAACCTGTAACCCAGACCATACATCTTGCTTATTTTTCTCCTCTGGGACTTGTTCAGAAAGAAGAAGTGTAGCTGTCATAACGCAACCCTAGCAAAACCTTTCCACTTGCCATACTGCCTGTGCTGTGGCTCCATCATTTAAAAATAATTACCACACGTATGTAGTGATCACATCTTTCAGCACCAAAATGAAGCTGATGGTAACAGATGTTCACGAGCTTGTGGCAACTGAAACATTTTTAGGCAACTGAGGAAGTGCTGGATCACTCTCAGATGATGCTAATGCAGTTTTGATGGCAGGGAATTTTGGATGAAGTGCTCTTCTTCCATACAAGACTGCATCAAAATACAAGCAATAATTATAGATTTCTTGAATTATTTTTTTTAAGAGAACATTAACTTTCAGTCTATATACCTTTTAAATGTTCTTTTGTTGAAACTCTCTGCCATTCTTTGGTTCTGTGAGCTAACTCTGATTAAAGCACTTTGGGGAAGAATATACATTTCTGAATTCACAAAGTTCAGTCGTTCTCCAATTAGTAAACTGTATGACGAAAAATGTTTGTAGTATCTTTACTTTCACCACTTTCATATGAAAAATAACTACTCATTGCTTTACTTTTAACATGGCTAAAAATAGTGTCTCCTTTTAAATCCAGCTATGTTTTTGCCATAAAAGCCTGAACCTGTCTTCTGAGAATAGTTATTCATTCACGTATCCAAATCAGCTTAAGAATGAAGTCCAATTTCAAAACTGATTTTAGGTGGCCAAAAATACAAATAGGCACCTAATCACTTTTATTCTATAAGTTCTATGGTAAGACCGATGTCATCAAATGTTAAGTGTTTGGAAGGTATGTGTCTAATCAAAGTGGGACATCTAGGCTCCCCTTGGGATTTACAGTGAAGGTAAATATCTCCAAAATTTACATCATCCTACCTGCTGAAGAACAGGCTGAATCAATTCCTGGAAATGTCTTTTCTTGAACAGCATGAGAAACTTTTGATGCGCAAACTTCCAAAACAAAAAATGAATTTCCTTCCTAACATCTTAAAAGTCAAGATCTACTTCTGAAGAGCATGTTCAGGCACTCTCTGCATCTCTCAGAATTAAAATACTTCTGAAAGCTCTCTGAAGGTAATGTCTAGTTCTTGTTGTGGGGTTCAATTACTCCCCAAGTACTTAGAAGTTTCAGGTGCTTTTCGATACTATGTCTGTGGAGCAAATGTGTTCTTGGAATTGTTTTAGCATTGTTTGTTACAATTACATCTTTCCTCAAAGAAGTGAAATAGACCATGGATTAATTGGGCAATTGGAAGGATTAGAGTTACCCATCTTTAAATGCTGTCACACTGCTCTATGGCATGTAGGTTTGTCTGCAGGGAAAGGTCTAACATAAGGAAATGTCATTTAGCCAAGTCACATTACCTTCCTCCCAAGCTGGTTTATTAATAACCTTTGAACCTAAGACAAGATGAAAACAACAAAAAAGACATACCAGAGGAATCAGAAAACAAATGGTCTGCTGTTTACTGTGGGTCTAAGTGACTTCAGAAAGATAACTTCATTTGTCTCTAAAATTCAAGTGCCCACTGCATAAGACTTTATTTTGTTTCACAGGAAGTATGTTTTACCACTGGATCAAGACATTTCTGTGTATTGTAAAAAAACATGTTTTAAGTGATGTAAGCTTATAATAAACAGCATAAGTAAAAAGAAACACTGTTTTCTTTTCCACGTATCTTTTTTAACCCTGCCAAGGTTTCCTCAGTGCAACACTTTTTTCTCTAAATTTTTGAGCTCTGGCTTAAAGTTCATATTAGTTTAGGAAGGGACAGGGGAAACATAAATGAGCAGAAATTAATTTGGGACACCCATAATGGAGCTATCAGCATAGACTATAATTAATATAGATGATTATGTAGACAAAGTTATGGCCTGTAGTTTGTATAAGCTCCTGAGGGGACTGTCTCATTCTCTAGGTTTATTAAGCTTGAGAAATCTCTTCTGTCTCAAAGGGGTACAGAAGGATTGTCATTTAAAATACTTTTTAAGGTGAAATAATATTAGGATTTACAGCAGTGTAGCTCCAATAACATTTAAGATTCCCCTAATTATATCATACTGTCCTTAATAGAAAGCTTAGGAACCTACAGGAGAAACTGTTGAATGGATGAAGAGACCTTGCCAGGGTGAGAGCAACAAATTCAGTTCCTGTATTCTCCGTGCTGCTTCTTTTTCCGTTGTGGCAATGCTCCAAGGGTAAAGGGAGACTTGATGTTTTGCCTATCCCTTTCAGCTTCCTCATCCTCATCATATCTTTCATCCTCATCTTCATCTTCACCTTCGCTATTGTGAGGGCTGGAATGCTGAGAGGCAGAAGGTGATGGTGGCACTGATGAAGGCCTAGGATACCTGAAACCTTCCGTCTGGCAGAGAGAGAAGCATGTTGCATGTATTATCACAGTGTTCCTCAATTGGTTGTATACAGCAATTTAAGAAAATTAGCACTTCAAGGAAAGTGCTCTGCACTCTAAAATTAAACTCCCTTGACCCTACATCCCCTCAGTCCTCTCTGCTTGTATGGCAGTGATCTTTAGCCTGTGGCATAAATAACATGCTGCCCTTCTAGCACTCCTTTTTGCAAAATATGACTACCTTTACTGATCCAAAAAACTGTCAACACAGGATGAAATCCTTTGATACCCCATAGTCAGAATATGCTTATCAAAATTCAGAATTCCGTCAAGTTTTAAAACTGCTTTCTAGTTATAATGCCAATATCTGCAAAACCAGAGCCAAGAAAGGGTTGGTTTGAGCTTCCTTTGCCCTTCTTGTTTAAAAACAAATGTGTTGCTCTCCAGAGGTGCTGGGGATTTGGTGTCAGATAATATTGTTCTTATACTGGATCTGAGCAGCTTCCCTTCTCACTTTGGTGATAATATGCACTATGCAAAACCTGACCCTTTGCAGTTCCAACCACAGCTTCCTCCTCACAGACTATGCTTAGATGCTTTCTTCGCCTCACTTTCCCTAGAGCGTCCTTTCCCAGCTCCTCTTCTGCTTGGTTTGTGCAGAACATCTCCATGACATTTATCAGAAGCAAAATTAGAAGCTGCCACTCTTTAATAAAAATTTCAAAGGCCATTTCCTCAGCTGGTCTAAAGTGGCATAGTGCCAACCAGGTCACTCTAAATGACCCAATGAACTGTTCCTGTGTTGCAGCTGGTATTCCTAGTGTTCGCATCTGATGCCGTTACAACTCCTGACTAGAGGCTGGGTCTATGATTTGTTGAGCTTTTAACTATTAATTCCTACTTCCCTTCAGTTAAAACGAACCTTGCTAACTCTCTTCTCTCTTTCTGTCTCTCACACACACATGTACACACACACTGTCACTCTCCTTCTCTCTCTTTGTAAGAATAGCTAATACGCAGATGAACTCATCTCTAAAAGCAGGCTTTACCTTTGGTGGAGCACATGGTTCCATTTCAAATTTATCTGGAAATGTTCTGCTGAGGGCCAAGTGTCT